CCAAAAAACAGTTTATAAGATGATATTTACGTCCACTTGTATATTATAAATATAACTTTATTAATATGTTAAGAAGTTGACTCTAAATCTAATTTAATCTTATAAAATAGATTTACAGAATGAAATATACATTCACTTATATATTATAAATTTGCCTTATTTTTATATTATAAATCGAACATATTTCGATACGAGAATTTCAATAATATTAGAGAAAGAAAAACACAAGAAAAATTGTTAAATTCAAAAGGAGTAGATGCCTAAATTTTCGCCACATGTGATTCACAGTTCACATTGTGATGAATTGTTGGTTGTCCAAAAGAGGGGCAAAAATGTTGTCTTATAAAATTATACATGTAATATGTCTGTCTAAAAATGGATAGAAAAGTAATGTATAGATTGTAGAAGATGTTGGATGTTTGAAAATTTTGATTCATGTGTAGTGTCTTAGCTTAGGGTGTCCTTTAACCAAAGTGAAGTGAGGTGGTTGGTGAAGTTGCATTTACTTTTAGCCAAAATGGTGGAGTTTTGGAAGATGTGTGCTGATGCATGCTGCTGTATTTTCCTTGCTCTGCATGTTTAGGCAAGAGAATGTGTGAAGATTGAACATGAAAAGAAACTGTCAGCTCTGCAGAGTCTAGAATGCAAAGATGGTGATGAAGCAAAGCTAGATAAGACCAAGGCTTCCATAACAAGGTTGCAGTCATTAATTGTTGTTACATCTCAAGCTGTATCCACCACCTCAGCTGCCATTAATGGCCTTAGGGATGCTGATCTCGTTCCTCAGCTTGTTGATCTCTGCCGTGGGTATGTCTGCTCATTATACAATTTCTTCACTGTTTATTTGTGCTCATGAATTAAAGGATAATTAAACACTGTTTCCCTTTTCAAATCCTATAATAATTATATTACGGTTACTTAAGGATTTTGAAGGTCTAATAAATTTAATAATGCAATTTTTTATTTATTCATAAAATAATATAAAACATATAGTGTGGTGGTTGAAGCAATATAGCTTACTGCTATAGTACATCACTTCCTTCCTCAGGCCTGCATAAGTAGTGCATGTGCCTCTTGTTTGTACCAATTTTCCAACTACTGCCCAGCATCTGTAACACAGTCTTGGCCCACTACTTTACCTGCCAAAATCTTGTGCCTTTTTAAGACGTTAAGGCTTCATACATTGGTAAAAATTATTTACTGAGGGGTCAGAAATGTTAAAACAATTATTGTATTAAGATAAAGCCCTTAGTATTGTTAACTGTTAATTAACTGTTTGACATGTTTCAAGGGAGAATTTATTAGGTAATTCTTGATCACCACTTATACATGGTTCCAATCAATCTTCATGTCACACATAATCAAATCATTATCTTACCTTAAATTTACTATATTTTAATGGATTTACACGATACTAATTAGATTTGAATCTAATCACACAAGAGATTGACATCATTCTTTATCCAAAACCTTAAGATAATGGATTAATGGATCTTTCATTTTTCTATTCAACGTGAAACTTGGTTTCACACTTCGATTTTCAATCCCATGGACCACAGAATGATTATAAAGAGAATCAAACAAAAATCACTTACCTTCTGGTACTATTTCCAGATCATTAGTAGGGGCCAATTATGCAAAATATGCATGAAATTGGAGGATTCAAGGAAGCATATGGAAGCATGATTCTTGGTAAAGAACAGTGGTTGTGATCATATCATGTAGTTACAATCCAAACTTCAGTAAAAGTTTGATAACCAAGTTGTTTAGGCATTTTTATAGGTTCCTGTGACTTGTGTTTGTTATCACTACACATGTTTAATGCAAAGAAAACATCTTAATATATTTATTTAAAAATGTTGTCTTCTTTCCTTAAAAAGAGGTAAACCTTCACTCTAGTTTTACAGGCTTTTATATTACTCTTTAAAACTAAGAAAATGTTAAATAACTACTTCCGTATATGTTAATATCATCACTTTAGTCACATTTTTTTAATAGCAGACTAGTTTTACATTGTCAGGACTTTCTTTGATTTCCTTCAATGCAGAAACTAAAGTGATGTAAATTGAGAAACTAAAAGTCACTGAGTAATCCATAAAAAATGTCAAGCTGAGAACTCAGCTAAAATGCTGTAAATCATGTTACATAGAGGCTGCATAAGCATAAAACTGTCAGGAATAATAAGTGAGTCTAAATCCATGGCTTCGAAGTTTTGAGTTAAAAGTAATAACAATATTTTATGGTTCCAAAGTTTTGAGTTAAAAATAATTGTGTTGAAAGTGTATGTTAACCAGAAATAAAGTCAATTTATAGTATACAAGTGGATGCAAATCTCATTTTATTAAGTTAGTTTTGTGAAATTAAGTTAGACTTAAAAGTCTATTTCCTGGTATCAGAGCTACGTTGTTTGTGATATTAATTATATACTAAATGCAGAATCATGTATATGTGGAAATCAATGCATGAGTACCATGAAATCCAAAGCAACATTGTGCAGCAAGTCCGTGGGCTTGTGAACCAATCATCCAAAGGTCACTCAACATCTAAATCACACAAGCAGGCAACAAGGGATCTTGAATCAGCTGTGTCAGCTTGGCATTCCAGTTTCTGCCGCCTGATAAAGTTTCAACGTGAGTTCATCCTTTCTCTGCATGGCTGGCTCAAGTTGAACCTTATTCCAGTAAAAAATGACAGCAGCAGCAGCAGCAGCAACAATAACAGTGAATCATCTCATGTGTTTTCTTTCTGTGATGAATGGAAACTTGCCCTCGACCGTGTTCCGGACACAGTTGCTTCAGAAGCAATCAAGAGCTTCATCAACGTTGTGCATGTGATATCAGTGAAGCAATCTGAGGAGCTGAAGATTCAGAAGAGAACTGAGAGTGCCTCCAGGGAACTTGAGAAGAAATCTTCATCTCTGAGAAGCATAGAAAGGAAGTTTTACAACTCGTATTCTATGGTAGGCATAACACCTCCTGAGTCTGGTCCTGCTGATGGACAAGGCTTGGATGCAAGAGACCCTCTTGCTGAGAAGAAACTGAAACTAGCATCTTACCAAAGACGTGTTGAAGATGAAATGGTGAGGCATTCGAAAGCTGTTGAGGTGACCAGAGCTATGACACTCAACAATCTTCAGACTGGTTTACCTGGAGTGTTCCAGGCAATGGCAAGTTTTTCTTCATTGTTCACTGAGGCTCTTGAGTCTGTATGTAGCCATTCACGTACCATGAATTAATTGTGAGTTGATGGATTAATTGTGGCATTTATTCAAAGGATATTTTCTTTTTGCAATCACATACTTTTTATTCTGCCATCTCGTAGGATGAAAGATAACGAATGAGTTTCTATTATAGAACTTTATATTCAAAATTGTATCATAGATTTCAATTTCAAAATTTTAAGTACGACTTCAAATTACTTAATCTAAAATATATTATAGATTATATGTTTTAGATTGTATAAATCTAGTATCTAAAATACAATTTCACATAACTTAATTCGAAGATAGTTTAAGAAAATTATTTCAAATTATCTAATACAAGTTACTATTAAAATAATAATAATTATTTTTGTCTCAATAAAAATAAACTCTCGTTTAATAACAATAATAATAATAATTTTTTAAATAGGTACACAATTTAATTGTTTACTCGTACGGTTTTAATTATAAATACTGATGTATCATCATGAACTAATGGAATTAACACAATTAGTCTAAGAAAAATAATTGAAAATACGTTTTATTTATTTACTTATTTGTGTGGGTATAGGTTCAAATTTTTCTTGCCTTGTGATCTCATATTATAAATCAGTGTATATTCTCTATTAAACTAGCATCCTTAAAAAAATAAGAATATTGTTTTTAATCCCTAAAATTTATAATAAATTTACTTTTGGTACCTCATTTTAAAAGAATTAACTTGTAGTTTCACACATTTAAAAATATATGATTTTAATACGCACTAAATTTAAAGGACTAAAATTTTATTTTTAAAATTTTATTTTTAAATCCTCAAGTTTAATATTTAGGGACAAGTTTTTTTTTTTAAAAAAAAGTAAGAGGCTGAATTTTCTTTATTTGAAGATCAAAACAAAATCGATTATAAATTTCAGAAAAGCAAACAAAAAAAAAAACATCTGGTAGGAAGGGTCTGAAGGATAAAAGACAGGTCAATAAACTTTAAAAAAATATTATATACTTTCATCTTCATACAAAATTATAATATTTTCAATTTAAAAATGAAAATTTATCCATTTTTATCTCTTTTTTTCTTCTTTTCCATTCAAACATACTTTGACTCCAGTCTAGGTTTGTTATGGTAATGTCATTGTCATCGATAAACCCTGTAGCAGCTTTCAGAAACATCCATGTTTTCATGAAAGGACCATAGAGAGAAAAATGGGGCATGAGCAAATTGTGACAAGGCTATAAAAAGACTACATTATATTGACAAGTCCCCTTTCATCCCCAAGCAAAGAATCTATCACACATGCAGCACAAATGTAGTAGAGGGGACCAAAAACAGACCATGAAAAGTAGTGATTGCATCATTAAATGGAGAGCCTGTTTGTCAAATGTGGTCCTCATTTTGCTTTTCTGAATTCTAGAACAATCTTCATTCTAACATCCATTCAATGATTTCATACTTTTATCTTGCATCTGTTGTGTTCTACACATGGGAACTCTGGGGAAAACAATGCATTTAGATTGAAGGTTGTTTTTCACAATACAAAATTTTACCAATCTTTCAATGTTCTTTTTTTTTTGTAAACAAAAAGTACATGTTATGATGATGTAACCAAGAGTTAGACTTCATTCATGTCAAGGTATTGTAGGAAAAGTATCATCAAATGAAGTAAAGTAGTTAACATTTTCATATTTTGACAAGAAAAGTATGATTTTGTTGTATGTTAAATGACAAAATGAAGGAACAGCACACAACAATGCCATCAGTTGAACCTGAATCCTGATAACATATCACAAATCTTGCCCAAAAATGTGAAAAGGATTATAAATTTTCATAAGTATTTAAATTCTGTATAGAAACACTACATTATGGATTATGCATAAGAATTGAGGGATCAGACAAGGCGAACTAGTGAAGAACCTAATCTAAACTTGGGGTATCATATTTCCAACTGAAATGGACTTTTACTACAAGGAACCAAAGGTAAGCTGAAATAACATGGTAATGCTGGGCAGCACCCATGGAAATGACTAAGAATTGAGAATACAATAAAAAGCAGATTGAGGAATCCGAACTAAAAGAACTCAAAGTCCAGATATTTACCCCCAGACTTCATGTTGTCAGTAGTAGTACCAACTATCCTCTTACTAGTGCTGCCAAGCCCAACAGCATTATCAGCTGGTCCAACCTTCCCTGGTAGTTCATTTTCCACCGGTCTCGGCACTTCTGGCGGAGTGCTACACCTAATCAATGCCCAGTTCACGCCTTCAAAGAATGGGTGCTGCTTGATCTCTGTTGCACCCCTTTTAACCCCTAGACGATGCTGTGGCTCCTTCACTAGCAAGCCACGGATCAGATCCCTGCTGGCATAACTGGTTGCAGGTGATTCGGGAAACCTGAGCTGCTGGCCTACTACATTGAAAAGTGTAGCACGGTTTCCTGACCCTTTGAAAGGGGTTTTACCATATAACAGCTCATGCAAGAAAATTCCAAAAGTCCACCAATCAACTGCACTTCCATGACCTTCTCCTTTGATAATTTCTGGGGCAAGGTACTCATGAGTGCCAACAAAGGACATGGATCGAGCTGCAGTAGGCTCCGCAACAAGCTCTGGAAGGGTGCTGGATGGCAATCCAGGATCAGCTCTTGGCTTCCTTAGCTTCTTGTTTTTCTGAGGAAACAACCGAGGAATAAAACATGCAGGTTGGATGCACACTGATGATGGCTCAATGCATGCAGGTTGCACACAAAATGCACCACCAGCCCGTTTAGAAGGATCGCCGTCATAGGATGATCTAATAAGAGTAGGTGACACGGCACATCTGAGGGAAAGATCAAAATCTGATAGCATAATGTGACCATCATCTCGAACCAACACATTTTCGGGTTTAAGGTCTCTGTAAACCACTCCAAGCATGTGAAGATATTCAAGAGCAAGCAAGACCTCCGCAGCATAAAAGCTATATGTAGAGAAAATGACACCGTAAATACTTATAGTGATTGTGTGCCCGGAATGAATTTATTCAACAGTAAAGGCATGCTATGAAGAACAAGATGATGAAACACCATTTGTGTGCACAAAAAGCAACAAATTGTAAGGCTAATTTCCCCAATATTATGTCTATAGTTTTAAAGCAAGAAAACCCATTTTTTGTATAAAAATGCTACACAAACAAAAAATACTCTTGTAAGAGTAGCACTTCAGCAAGATACTTGTTATACATAGTTTCCTGAGTGGTAAGCAGATCCAGCTAACAATGCTAGATAGACACATATGAGCATATTTCATTAAGAAAATGCATTTCAAGATAACTCATGCAAACTAGATGCACTCAACTTAATTACATCTTTATTGTATCATTGATTATGAATATGATGCATGAATCACTTAACATGGTCGAATGAAATGAAGCAACTGATTCAAAACTTCACAAAGATTTAAACAAAACAACCATACATAGAAGACATACAACAAAAGCAGCTATCTTTTCTTGAAATATTGCAGAGAGGCTACTGTTCAAGGGAGGGATTCTAGCAGTAGAGATCCAAGTACTTCGTTTAGTGAAGAAATCACATGAAACACATTACCAATGCAGTTGCATAATCCAAATTATTCTTATATCTCAACAAAGTCAAGACAAGAAAGAAACAAGAAATTAAAAAAAAAATGTTTCTCTAATTCATAAAGATCGAGAAAAAAGATTGCAAACATTAGTTTCAAAGTGTCTTTTTAGCATAACATGAATTAAGAAACAATAAATCAAAAAGAAGTAAAATAGTTTTTTTCTCAAACTCTCCAAATGCAAAAGGATTAAGGAACAGGAAAACATTATCGTAGAAAATTATCATGACGGAAAGTAATTAACAGCAAAGAACTCAGGTAAAGAAAAGCAACTAAGTAAAACATAAAGCATACCGTGCTGCATATTCTGAGAAATGTTTCCCAGGTTGCCGCTGCCTTAAAGTGTGCAGATCACCGCCTGGACAATATTCCATCACCAAACACGAGAATCTGTCAGTCTCAAAATGAGTATACAAAGTTGGTAGAAATGGATGGTCCAGCAACTGCAATATCTCCCTCTCTGTCTGTGCTCTAGTCAGCTTCTTTCTGCTTGCAAGGGATGCCTTATCCATAACTTTCATTGCAAAATAACACCGAGTTCCACTCAGTTCTGAAAGATATACACTTCCAATGTCACCACATCCTAGACGTTTGAGTAATCTAAAATGACTCATGCCCAGAATTCCATCCCGCAATCGGATGGCAAGAATAGCCTTCCACCTAGGATCATTTCCTTTGTGAGGCTTATTGGCACTACCAGTTATGTTGCTCCAGTTGCTGTCATCGCTGAGGCCACTGCTATCACTTGCCCGGCTAGCACTAGTTTTTGCACTCTCCAGTGAATCCCCCCTTACACTCCCTTTAGTACTATCACAGTTTCTATCTAAACTAAGCATGCCATCACTAGTCATTGCATCACTCCGATATGTACTAGCACAACTATTAACAATGCTCATCGCAGTGACAACACCAGTACTATCAATACTGCTGAGTGGACTGACATTGCCACTTGGAGGCAAAGAAGCGTCCCAAACACATTCTTTTTCCTCAGCATCAGGAGGTAGGAGAGAGTTCTCAGTATTCTGTGATGCCCGAGGACCCAGAAATGCCAAGTTCCCTATGCCATTTATTTCTTCAACCAGACTTTGCTCAGGGGTAAGAACAGCTGGATTTGGTTTCTTTGCAGGAACACGAATTGAGAGATCTTCCAAAAAAGGGCCCTTTGTGGGCAGGCTCTTGATCAAGCAACCAGCCTCCGATTTGTTTTGACCTATCGGTACATAAACGGTTCTCATAAGATCTGTATCAACAGGCTCAGGGGGATGACTAGCACCAGCAAATAAACTTGGACCACCATCCTCAAATGAATAGCTGCTTTCCTTCAATGTATCACCATCAGGCACAAACTCCTCAGCTTCTGGCGAGGAGCCCTTTCCCTTCCATGTCATGGTGGGCTCAAAGGTGAGGGACTCCTCAGAGGATCGACCATCAAATCCCATATCTTCTTGTACCAAATATATTCGTGCATTGGTTAACTGGGCCACTTCTCTAATTGAGGCCAGATGTGAAAGAGGGACATGCACATCCCTTGTTTTGGACAATTGATTCACTTCTCTGAGTGAAATCCCAGCAGCACCAGAAACCTCCTGCCGATTATGTCTCTGACCCGGCTCTCTTGCAGCAGATGTGTGTGCTTTCGATACCTCAACAAGGATAGGCAAGTTCCGTGGAAGTAACTTCGGCTCAGCAACCCTCTCCATGTCACAATATCACATAACATCACACCAACACTTCCAGTTACCAAGCCCCTGCAAAGAAAACCATAAGTTCATTCAACAGTAGCTTCATTACTTCAACTTGAATTCCAACAAACAAAACGGTGAACATAACCAAGACAAGTTTTAGCCAGCCACCAAAACAACGCAGAACCAAACAATGAACGAATCAAGCAATCCTAGTTTACATATCATAGCTAAAAGGCACACCCAGCAAAGAAATGCAACATATAGAAAGCCAATAAACAATGATAATTGCGTGAAGCGCTAGAAACAAGAAGGAAAAGCTACTCATAGTAGAAATCATAAAATGGTACTGGAAAAAACCACCCCAACTTGAAATCACTAATGAGAGGCTAGCAGATCAGAAAACTACAGAGTTACTTGAAGCATCAAAACACTAACCCCATAAGCAATTAAAAAAAAAATCGGTATCCGTTCACAGAAACATGAATCCACAAAATCAAAATTCTTTACACATTGAAAACAATACTAAGAATAAAAATAAGAACAAAAAACAGCACACATTTTCTTCTATTTCTTTGACAAATGACAGTACCCACATAAGCCCAACAGTTGCAAGGAATTCTTTTTGAGACAAAAGAGGGATCTGTGTTCCATAAAACAAAAGGGAAAAGAAGAAGAAACAAAACCAAGCAAAAGGGACAAAATACAAACCCAGCATTGAAATGAAAGAGAAAACTGTGTAATATTATAATGGAGCTGTTTCTCTTTGTTCCCACTACTTCAAAGCCAATAATAACAACCACATCAAACACACCCTCTTCCTATTTCCTTCCACCACAAACCTAACACCAACTCTCTCTCTCTCTCTCTAAAACTGGAAAATGGTGATTGAAGAAGAAAGAATTCTCTCTCACACTCTATAAAGTGTTGCTGTAGCTGTTGGTGGTGATAGTTATGAACTGTGGGTACAAGCTTTTGCTTTTTTTAATATTATTATTTTTGTTTTTTTAATTCTTTTATAATAATTATTTTATAAAAGGATAATAACAATGAACTCTTGTTGATTGAAAGTATAAAAAAGTTCTTACACCAAATACTTATAAACTTTTATTATTATTTCACTTATTTTATTTGTTGAGTATTTACATAGTTATAGAAAAAATAAAATATAATGAAACTATATTACCAGTGTAAAAAATATTACAGTGTTACTCAATTATCAATCAGTAAAAATTTACTTTTAGTATAAAAGAAATTTACAGTGTTACTCCACTATAAATCAGTAAAAAAGTTACTTTCAGTGTTACTACTTTAAAAGTATAAGTATAGTTTATGGCAGATATATTTAAAAAAGTTATATTTGAAAAATTGACATTAACAAATTAAAATTTTAAATATATAAATTGGTAATATCTAAATGAAATAAATGTAGACTAATGAATATTGAGAAAATTATTGTTTCAGTATCATTCATTGCATCTTATAATAAATAATATGTATTAATACGAATGTAACGGTAATAATAAATATTACAAGGAACATTAGCCATATAAATAATTGTGTCATTTTATAATAAAAATAATTTAATTTTAATAGTATAATTTAATTTTAAATAAAAGGAAAATAAATTCATTAATAATACCATGTCTGTTTAAAAATAATAGTAGATTGTAATATTTGAAAATGTTTGTCTGTATATATTAAGGGTTAAATATGTTTTTAGTCACTAAAGTATTGGTCGTTTTTGGTTTTCGTCCCTGTTTTAGAGTAAGGTACAATTTGGTCTTCATTCTTTTCGAAACGTTCGTTTTAGTTCTCGAAAACTAAACATTGTTTAAAAATTTGGTCCTCATTTAGCAACAAATAAGGACTAAAACCAAAATTCCGAGGACTAAAACAAACGTTTCAAAAAGAATGAGGGACGAAAACCAGAAATGACCAATACTTTAGGGACTAAAAACATATTTAACCCATATATTAATGACAATTTGTATTCTTTAAATATTATATATATATATATATATATATATATATATATATATATATATCAATTCATATAAATAATAATTATGAAAGGAAACTAATAATGATAATTATAGAAGTAAAATATTACATATAAAATACATATATTAAAACCATTCATGATCTTCATCAATCCTAAAAAATAATATCAGTCAAGATAGAGAAAAATGAGAGTGGGACCCACAGTGTTGGTTCTTTAAGGTACACTTCTTTTCTCTCTTTCATCAACGTCAAGCCGTTTTCCTTGATTGGCTTTTGGAATTCTCAAATGGCGCGTGATTCCAACTTCTTTTGAACGCGCGTGTGTTTCTTTTCTTTTGTTTGTTGTGATGAAGTGGAATATCCTTCACTGGAAGTGGATTATGATTAGTGAGTGGGGCCCATTTTTTCAAATACCAATTTAGGTGGGCCCACTTCACAGCAGCTCTATTTTTCATTTAATGATAATTATTAAGAAAGTAATGAAATTCTTTTAAATTTAGACAGCGGTATCAAATTCTTAGTCAGATCAATCTTATTTATTTAGATGGGTTAATTTATTTTGTCCTCCAAACATATTTTATATATTTATTATAATAAATAAAAGTAGACTTAATCGCTCATTTATTTATAGCATTAAATATTAAAAAAATAATTACAAATTAAAATGTTAATTTATATTATTGAATAAATAAATTAATTAAATATTTATATTATTCAAACATTATTAAACTGCATTTTAATCTTTAAAGATATTAAATTGTTAATTTATATAATTTGACGTCATAATAAAAAATTATGAAAATTATAAGAATAAAATAATAAAGTATTGTTTTAGTAGGTTGTTAATTAACTCTACTCGAAATCATTTAATCTTAAAATATTTAAAAGACTGTTTTTTTTATTCAGTCTAACTTAAATATGTGATGAATTAAGTTGAGTATCTAATTTACATTACAACTTAACTATTTATTTATTATTAAAATTAATATTTAATTTAATATGCTTTTAGTTTATACTTAGTGTGATGGGATTTTTGTATTTATAATTTTCTTTTAGATTCTATTACTAAAAATTATAATTATTGATTTTGATATGTTAAATGAATAAATTTTACTTTTAATCCTTGCAAAATACTGTAATTCCTTTATAGTATAAAATTACTATAAAAAAGTTTTACCGATAGAAATAGTTGAAAGTCTCTGATAAATTAGAGATATCATAATTTCGCTTTGTTTTCGTAAATCACTGCTCAATCGGATTAGATATCATAATTAATTCTTATTACCTAGTGATAGTGTGCATACCAATTACATATTCTTTGTATGTTATTTAATATATTAAACTCAACATTTATAACATCTCTCCTTGATCGATAAGTCAAATAAAAATTAAATACTAATTAAAAAAAACTACTTCAAGAATTTGATTAAATTAGTTTAATTTTCACCTTACTAACTCCTCAAAATTGTATTTTGCTAGCATAACAATACCATGATTATACTTTAGTTTTTGAAAGAGGTCAAAGAAAATAAAATTCTAAAAGAATATAATTTTTAATGAAGAAAAAAGAATTATATAATCCATTTATAGAATATCTGTCATTTATCAATTTAAAAATAGTAATTAAAATTTTAATTATTTCATTTAACTGAGTTGATTAATAATGGTATATGGAAGTTCACATATCATGGTATGTGTTCAATTTCTACTTACAAAAAGTAAAAAAGTTTCTATAAGATAATTTTTAATCAATGCATAAAACGTTATTTTGTTCCACTTTCTGTAAAGTTTTATAAAAATTTAGTTTGACTATTTTTTTAATCTCTGAAAATTAAGTTGATTTTGGTTCTTATAAGTTTTGTTATATTTTCTGTCCTTCAAATATTGAAAATATTTTTTTATCCCTAAGCAGTCATTAAGGTCCTGTTCTCTTGAGTGGATTTGAGGGAATGGATTTGACGGGATTTGAGAGGATTTGAAAATAATTTTTTTTATCGTTTTTTTGAGCGAATTTGGAGGTAAATGAGAATGAATTTGAAAATAAAATTTGTGAGAATTAGTATAGAATTGTATTGACATGACGTATTAAAAAAAATTATTTTTAAATTCACTCTCATTTACCTCCAAATTTGCTCAAAAAAACAATAAAAAAAATTATCTTCAAATCCTCTCAAATCCCCTCAAATCCATTCCCTCAAATCCACTCAAGAGAACAGGGCCTAAGTGTATATGTGTTGAATGTCAAAATTAATTGAGTATTTTAAAATTATATCGACTATTTTTATATGATGTAATATTAGTATTTGATGTCTCCAAATAATGAATGTGAAAATAAATCAAGTAAAATATTTTAATGGTAATACGAATAAAAAAATTACATGAACTTACAACAAATTTTTCTCTCTTTAAATTTTATAAAAAATAAAAAATTATTAAAAACTTTACAATAAAAAATAACCTTACAAAGAAAGAAGCCAAAACTAAAAATGTAATTAAGGCATAAAAACTAACAGTAACCATAAATATTTTTAAAGCATGGAATACAATAAGTTGCTGGTGCATCATCGTTCTAACGGCTCTCTGGTTCCTTTCACAGCATGAAATGTCAGGAAAGCCCTTGGAAAATGGACAAACAGTGACCGTACGATGGTGCCGGAGAAATTGAACAGGATGAAACGCATGCGCGTGCACGGTGGCCTCCGTGAACTGGCAATGCAACAGATTTTGCAGTGAATAATAATTCACAAAAACAAAACCAAACTGAACTCAATAGTGACCAATCGAGAGACTCTAGTGTTCCTTGGTCCCATTCCCTGTGGCTACGCTTTCCTCTTCAGATTAGAACGATATTTATTCATTAATTTTTTTTTTCATCTTTTTCTTTGTTATATATTTTTAGTTTTTGATATGAAAATGAAATTGTGTAAAGCTCTAAAAAATATGTTTTAAGAATTGATAGTATGTTAAAATGATAATACTCGATTATTTTATATTTAATTTGTTTTTTTTTCTATTTTCGATAGTTTGTCAAGTTGGTTTAATTTTTTAAAAAAGTTTCAATTTGATTCACACCTAGTAAAAATTTGTCTCAATTAAATTATTTCCATTAAATATAAACGAACAGAGTTAATTGTTTCATGATGTGGCAAACAAATTCATGATGTGGCAAAAAAATATGATAACGTGACAAAACCAATTTTTTTAAGGTTTTAAGATGTCAGATCTATGGTTTCGGGTTACTTCACGAAGTCTGTTTGTGTCTTGCATTCCAATTCACAAAACTCAAATAATATAACAGAATCGCCCAAAATTAGAGAACAATTAAAATCCTAACTCACATAATCAAGCCCAAATTCCCAACTTCAGAAAACCCACATCTAAAGCGCAAATCAAAATGCATAAAACCCCAAAAACAGGAACCTAATTTGAATCCAGAAAGAAAAGGAAGAAATGGTTCTCCCCAAGGCTGAATCAAAATGCACAAAAAAACTCCAAATCGAAACCCTAAATCAAACGTGAAGCCTCTCCCATCCTGTGAAAACTAAGCCAAAACCGAGAATAAAAGAGGAAAGAAGAAATTGCATCTTCCTATTGCGAAACGGATCAGAAACGAAAGACGAAAATGAGTCTTTCTCCCTAAGAAAAGCAAACAGGGACAAGGAGAACGAGGTCCCCTGCGAAGTCGAACAGAGGAGAGAAAGAAGATGGGTGTCTTGTGCGTCATCGCCTTCTCCAACAACCAAGGTCGCAAGCTCCTCAATTAACGCCACACCGCGAGATGAAGGACATCTAATGTTGGGTTGGTCCACGAGGAAGGAAAGCCAGAGAATTGGGAATATTTCTCTGATTAGGGTTCTTAAGTTTGAAATCTATATTTAGGAAAATTAATTAAGGAACAACTTATTTAGACATTAATTAGGGTTTGGAAA